CATGCAGCACTCCTGCCTCAGGGCCTTTGCTATTCCTAGAACATGCAGCACTCCTGCCTCAGGGCCTTTGCACTTATTTTTCCATTTTGCCCCAACATTCCTTTCCTCAAATACAAGAGGGTTTCAAAAGTTCGTGGAAAAATTCCATTATCTTTTAATTGTAGTTTTCCATGAACTTTTTGAAACTCCCTTGTATCTGTATGGCTCGATGCTGCCTCTTTCAGGTCTCTGTTAAAATGTCCACTTCTCAGTATGGTCTTCTCAGATGCCCTCTTTGAAAATGTAAATTCCCACCTCTATTCCTTACACTCCTTGACCTCTTAACTTCACTTTATCTTTATCCAACACCTGACATTGCAAATACTAGTATTTTACTTGTTTATGTTTACTGTCTGATTTCCCACTCACATGTAAGCTCAGTGAAATAGGATTTCTGTCTCTTTTGTTCACTGCGTTAATGCTAAATTCCAGTACATACTTATTCCAGACATGCACAGGCTTATTCCAAACAAAACTATTTAAGCATGTTTCTGCAATCAGTAGAAGGCTGCAGACAACTTACATCAGTCATACAGTTGGCTTATTCTTGTTAGGGTGCCTTCACACACACACAAACAGCCCAATTAAAACAGTGGCTTCTGAGGGGGATCTGCTGGGACGACCAAGGTAGGGAGGGCAGCTCAGAAATTTATGGTGATTTTTTTTGGGGGGACTCCAAAGTGACAATCTTGATAGATTTTTCTCAATGGACACAGGATGATCAAGGAGGCTTATTAAGAAGAGGTTTTAAGAAAATTGAAAACTGCATTGATGAAAGAAATTCAGGCAAAGTTATGCTAAGGAATTTTTCCCCATCACAACATTGAACCTGGTCTTTCTTTGAGGCAGCAAGGGCTGCCCTAGGAGAATTTTATGGTAAAACCTTACCCCACCTACACTACAGTCTTGATCCTGCCCTTCCGATTTCTTTTTGTTCCCAAAACCTAAAGAGCATTTCAAAGGAACATTATTTGAGTCTCACAAAATGCCCCAAACTGCTGTTTTGATGTTTGTGAATTGAAGAGCACAGAAGTCTTTGGGGGAAGGTTTAGAAAGTTGGAAAATACACATTCATAATTGTATAGGCTTATATGAAGGATATGTCAAGAAGCATAGCTTCACATATTGAGTTTTTTGTTTAATAAAGATTTCTGTGATTTTGTAGTAATATTGTTTACTTACATTCCTATAAATATTTCTTGAATGACAGAATAAACTAGTGAACAAATATGAATGAATAAGTTGGGAAGTATGATAAACAATAAGACCTGCAAAAGCTATAGCCAGTATAAGGCAGGAACCTGTCAGAAAATGAAAAAATATTTCCTACTAGTAGAGAACAATAGAAAAGTGAGAAGACTGTACCTTCAAAAGTGGAGAATTCCAAAGATTTGGAAAAGCAAGGCAGTCCCATTGATTTCCAGCTCTCACAGGTTTCACTGTAAAATATATATTCTCTTTTTTAAAACTAAAATATTTTATTGTATTTTTGGTGAAAGTTTATAGGGCAAATTAAGTTACCATTTACCAATTTGTGTACCATTTGTTCAGTGACATCGATTATATTTTTCAGTGTATCAGTGTTTTGTTTCTATTCTGGTTTTTCTGTTTCCAGAAATCTAGTTCCGCTGGTCTTGGGGGAGTCCTTTAGTCTCAGCCAGAATAGTTAATCTGGGCTTTTTTCAGAATTTGAGTTCTGTTCCACATTTTGTCCACATTGTATCAGGATCCATCTACAGGTAGTCCCCAGTTTATGATGGGGTTCCAGTCCAACAGCTCTGCTGTCAGGCAGTTCTGACATAAGCAAAATACCTCCTTTTTTGTTTGTTTTCATTATTATTACCTTCTATTCTATTATCTTAGTGTGGTGCTATGGGATGATGTGCTGGACTGCAAACTACAAGGTCGGAGGTTCAAACTCACTAGCCATTCCTTGGGAACTCTATACAGAGTTGCTATGAGTCAGAACTGACTCGACAGCATTTAACTACAACAACATTGTATTATCCTGGTTTGGTTCTGTAGGATAAGCACTCGACCTCAAGGTTGCTTTGAA